AAAAAAAAAAAAAGGAAGAAGGGACTACTGGCCACTAGTCAGAGACCCAACTGTGCCTGACACCTTGAAGTTGGCACAGCAGCTATTTGGGAGTGCATGGTGTATTTGATCATTTCAGGGGGGTACCCTGTGTCACTCCTGGTTGAGGTACACTGTGTCACTCCTGGTTGAGTCACCCTCGAGTCCCTGAGCAGCTGACACTGACCCCCAGAACCTCCGGGCCGCCTCTCAGTTCTACCCACACACACTGAGCCACCCTTGTCAGGAGTGGGTTTGACTGGCAGCGGCTGGAGCTCAGAGCCCAGAGCCCCAGGAGCACACCCTGCCTGTGGGGAGGGTGGGGAGCACAGAGAATGGAGGCACCAGGGGCTTGCGGTTGGGTTGCAGCCCGGGGTGGTTGTTCCTCTTCGCTCTCACCCTGGTCTGGTCCTCCCCGCTCTGCTCCTCGTCCCTGGCTTCCACCTTTCTGCCCCTCTGTCTCTTGGGCTGTGGGAGGCCAGGCTCTGGCTCAGCACAGCCCCGTGTGTTTCCAGGCAGGAGAACCCACAGAGCTTTGCCGTGCCTGGGACCTACTCCCGTGAGTCCCCAAATGGAAGGGCGGGCACTGGGGGTCCATAGCAAAGTTCCCTGAGGCTGTGGGCAGGCCTAATGTGGTGCAGTGAGGAAGAGAGGGGACTGGACTGCCCTGGGTACCAGCCAAACCCCTCATCCTTTGCAGTGGTCAGCCAGCCTTGTCCCAGGGCCCTGATGGACGCGGTACCTGATGTGGAGCCTGAAAGGTAGGACGGAGTCCCCTGTCATGTGCCCAGAGGGGTCACAGCCCCTCTACAGGTATGAGAAGGGCCCCACTGTGGGCTGCAGGCTGTGGTTTTCAGAACCCCCAGAAACTCTCAACTTTGTCTCCCATGGCCCCTCCTCAGTCTCCATCACCCTCCCCCCTGCAGGAAGAAGAATCTGCTGTTCTCCCCCAGCCTTGAGGGTGAGTGACCCTCGGACTGGGTGGGGGCAGGGGGCAGGGGCGAGGCAGGTCTGAGACAGAGAGCTGGTGAGGCAGGGTTCTTTCAGGGACACTGGGAGTCAGGCAAGCCAGACCAGACAAGGGCCCTTGCAGGGAAGAAACTGAGGGGGGCACCAGATGGGACTGGCCCATAAGAGCGGTTCAGAGAGAGGTGGTAACCCGGGGACTGGGGATGGAGGCCCTTCCTTGGGTGGCCAGAGCCCATGGCCAGCTGGGAGGGGAGCAGGAACTGGGGAAAACAATGGCCCTGACCTCCCTTCCAGACTCTGAGTCTCCCAGGTACCAGAACTTCCGCAAAGGTAGGTAGACTTCGGGGAGGTGGGCGCTGTGGTGGGCTCACTTTAGCTCAGGTCTAACTCTTGTCCCCTCCCGCAGGAAGCCGACTTGGGTCAGATGCCGCTTATGTGTGAGTGGCCTCCTCCCCACCCCCACCCCTGCCCTCAGCTTCCTCATCGGTGAACCTCCTCATGCACTTGAACTCCCAGGCCGGATGCTCTGGGCAAACTTGTCATCCCCCAGACAGCCATGGCTTCGGGTGGGCAAGGATGTGGCCCTGTTCTGAGGGGGCAGAACCACTAAGGGGGGGCGGGGAGGGGAATCCTCTTCCTGCATCACCCAAAGAAACAAGCTCCATGGACACCTGGTACCCCAGAGAAGAAGGACCTCAAGATGTCTCCTCACCGCACCGATGGGCTAACTGAGGCCCTGGCTAAGTGGAGCCCTGGCAAGCTCACATGACAAGGCAGCCACCCCTTGGCCCCAGGGCGGTTCAGGCCCAGGGGATTGGAGGGACAGTTCAGCAGAGCCCCATGGCCTCAGGCTGCCGCACCCCTGCCTCATTGCCCCTGTGAAGCCCCCACCCCACCCTGCACCTGTCCAGCCACGGGTGCTGTCTGTTTTCTTGTCAGAGACCCCATCGCTACGGACTATTACAACTGGGGACGGTGCCAGAAGGCCCAGAAAGGTGAGACAGTCACAAGGAGGGGGAGGATGAAGAGGTATTTGAGCTTAGCAGTAGAAGCCAAATTCTTGGGGCCAAAGGAGGTTGCGAAGAGGAATAAGAGGCCTGGCCAGGGTTTGGTTGGGGGGGGCAGGTGAGGGACGGCACTGCAGGTGGGACCCAGGGGAAGGAAGAGTGGGAAGGATAGGAGTGAACAGAGGGAACAGACGGGGAGCTGGGGGGGCGGGAGGGGTAACCCAGGCACCCCTCAGGGCAGGGGCATATGGGGCCAGGAGGGGGCCCTCGAAGGGGCCCCCTCGCTAACAGATTCTGAGCCCTGGGGCTCTGCAGTCCTTAGGCCTTTAATGCCATTGCTTTACAAAAGGAGAAACTGAGTGGGAACATGTTCAGGGACTCTGTGCACCTGCTGAGGTGAGGCCAGCTCTGAGCCACGCTCCTCCTCCTCCTGAGCTGGGGTGGGGATGAGGCATGTGGGAGGAGCCCCATACCTGGACACCCCTTGTTGTGTAGAGTGGCAGTTAGGGTTCCACTTATCATTGTGAGGTGATGAGGGACGTGCCAGTCCCCTATGGCCCCTGGGCAAAGGAGCCTCAGTCTGCCTGCAGGCGTTCCCTGCCTGCGGGGTCCTGTCAGAAGCTTGGGCTTCCTCCAGCTCCCCTTGGCCCCCCCGGGACCCCCCTCATCCAGTAGAGATGGGCCTCCTTCCAACTCTCCCTCATGAGCCTGATTGCAGTCTAGCCCCTAATCTCCCTGCCGGGCTTCTAGGGCGGCCTTGGGAGAAGGGGGTCGAGTGGGAGCTGCTTGACCAGCCTGCTAAGGAAAATGTTGGCGGCACTGTGGGGGGCCAGAGTCCTCAGGGCTTGGCAGAAGAGGTCACCTGCTGAGGACGGACAGGACAGAGGGAGGGAGAGCCAGGCCTGCCTGCATGTCCCACGTCCTCCCTCCTCCCCACAGATGATGATGATGACAATTCCTACGAGAACGTTCTCATCTGCAAACAGAGCCCCGATTCAGGTGAGGCTGGGCTAGGGCCTGTGCGGGGAGGCAGCCCTGACACCCGCACTGTGAGGGCTCGACGCCTGAAGGGCCACCTCTATCTCTGGTGCCTTTGGGTAAATCTCTGGCCCCAGTTCCCTGGAGGAGTCGCCAGCAGCCCAGGGCCACAGTGGGGACATGCTCAGGGACTCTCCCTCCCCCGAGGGGCTGCCCAGCACTGGGAGGATGGGCCAGGGTGTCCGGTGGCTGCCCTGGTCTAGCGCCCTCCCTGTCCCCCACAGATGAGGGGTCTGCCGATTATCAGAACTCATCATGCATCCAGCAGTGGCAGAAGTCCAGGAAGGAAAACACAGGTGTGTGACTGGAGATCAGGGACCCAGAGGACCCTCAGCAGGCTGGGGTGGGTCTAGAGGACCAGGTCGGGAAGGTGTGGGGCAGGAGGCAGAGGTAGGGCTCCTCTGTAGCCAGGCCAGCTGGTCCCACTGTGGAGGCTGCTGACCAGCAGGAGCAGGGGCCTGGACCACAGTGCCTGACCCCTTCCCCCGCCACAACTCACTTGCCTTGGCCTGAGGGCCACTGACATGCTGCCTGTGCAGCTAGGGAGTGGCTGGAAGGGGAAGGACAAATGCCTGGCAAATTCTGAGCCACAGCGCTGGGACAGCATTCCCTGCAGGCTGCTTGTGGCATCTGGGAGCTGGGCCCCAGCACTCTGCCTGGGGCCACCCTCTCTGTGAGAAGCATCTGCCCATCTGACTCAGTTTGCCTTCTGGTCCACAGGGCAAGTCTGCAGAGAAACATCTCTCTCCCCAGAAATCCCGGATGAGGACGAGGAACCTGACTACGTGAATGGGGATGTGCCGGCCCAGAAGGCCTAGGGGAGCCCTGGGAAGTAGGTACAGCGGCCTCAGGGTGATGGGCCTCGCAGGCCAAGGGCCCTATCCCCAGGGAATGGCGGAGAGCTCAGGATGGAGGAGCCACAGTGGGGGCTGGGGTGGGGCGCATGGGCCACCCCAAGTGCTGAGGGGTGGCTCTTCTGTGCTGGCCTCCAACAGCTCCCACCTCCCTGCCCCAACCCCTTCGGCAGGCTTGGTGAGCTGACAGAATCTCCACTGGCGGGAGTGCCAGGCACAGGAGGCTGGTGAGCCCTGGGAAAAGGGCCTTTTTCTGCAACCTTGGGCAATGACCTGACCTCTGCACCCTGTTTCCTCATTTGCAAAATGGAGCCAGTGGAGCTATGGCTTGACTTAGACAAGACAGAGCACGGAGAGCTTTAGTTCAGCGGAACTTGCCAGTGTTGGGCACAGGACCAGGGGAGGGGGCTTGGGGCTAGTGGCTGAGCCCCTTCAGCTGAGGAGCATGGTGTTAAGTGCCCCTCCCCCACGCCTCACACACCCCTCTCATCTCTGGCTCCCACAGGCACAGTCGTGTGCCCGTCAGGAGCGCACAGAGATAGGATGAGACGGGACTGAGCGGCCACATGTGGGAGGCCTGACTCTGCCCCCTGCTAAAGGCACCTGCACCCGCAGCCCATGAGGGCAGTCGAGGGGTGGGGGCAGGAGAACAAGCAGCAGGAGAGCGGGGTCTGAGCCCAGGGTGCGAGCCCCAGCTCCACTCACGCACCAGCACCCGCTTGAGGGGCACCAGGGCGGGTCCTGCTGTGGGTGTTCGTTCAGGGGCAGCTCTAGACAACAGACCCCATGTCCCTGACTGTTCAGAACACACACTCTGGTGGGAGAGGTAAAACAAGGGGCCTGAGATAAGGACAGAAAGGAAATAGCGAGCTAGATGTGGGGCCTCCAGCAGAGATAATTGGGGGTCGGGCAGGCAGGAGGCCAGGGACGCCTTCTCAGGCCTCCTCACCCTTGGGGGGGTGGACAGAAGGAAGCCCGGACTGTGGGGGGCAAGGGTTGAGGAGGGTGTTGGGGACAGAGGAGGTGAGGCCAAAGCCTGCACCAGCACCAGGGTGCTGACTGAGAGGGGTGGGAGGTGTGTGGGAAGGTTTGGAACAGAGGACAGTGGAAGCAAGGCCAGTACGTGAAGGCAAACATTCAGGCAGCCGTGGAGATGGGCACCCAATGTTGTTTGGAGTCAAGGAGATCGGTTGACATGCAGGGAGTGTGTTCCGGGCAGCGAGGGAGGATGAGAACCACACACTTTGCTGAGCCACAGGAGGGGCCACGGTCAGCCACCTGGACCTGGTGGGCAGGACATTTGTTTCTGGACCTGCTCAGTGGGAGTTGCCCACGCGGAAGGGGTGAGGACTAGCCTGGCCTCAGGCTGGAGACCCACGAGGTCAGTCTCACTGCACGAAGGGTCCTGCGATGGCTGGCGAGTCACCACGGAAGTGAGGTGGAGAGCCCGCACGGAGCTGAGACCCTGCCAGGCCAGAGGGTGGGGGACCAGTGCAGCAGAGGGCAGGGAGCCTAGGAAAGCTTTCAGGGAGGGAGGGGGAGCTACCATTCTGCAGAGGGCATCCCTACACCAAAGACGTGTCAGAACCACCAAGCTTGGCCAGGAGCTGCAGGCAGGATTTCAGATGGAAGTGGAAGCGCCTGGAAGGCTACTTAAGGCCTCTTGGCCTCAGGTTCTTCTCATGCTGACTCAGGACAGCTGAACATTAGCCACAGCCTCAAATCCCTACCTGACCCCCAATAGCAGCCCTAGTGCTAGGGAACACCAGCCCGCCAGGGAGACCTCTTCCTTTAACAAATCCCTTTCCTCTTCACTCAGGAGCCAAGGGGCACCCCGGCTCACTGGACTACTGCTCCCTAGGATGACTTCTCCACTCTGACCTCAGACCTTGCCACATCTGATCCTGGGGGTTCACCTGAGGACCACCCGTCTGGCCACGTGGGCCCAACCTGGGAAGAACAGTTTCTGGGGATGCCTTCTGGCACGGCCTCCGAGGGACAGGGCAGGAGCCTGGTGACCAGATGTCCAGGACTCGGGCAGGTCATTTCCCCATCCCCGTCTACAACACTGGAATTCGTGTCCTTTTTGCTTTGGATTTGGATTCGAAATTGCTTACTAACATCGATTGCGGTCACCAGAATTCTTTCCTGATAAGCTTGTATAGTTAATTTATATAGGTGGAGTCATATTTAATACTCTAAATTCCAGGGTAAGAGATGGTCCTCTCCTGTAAGCATTACATGGACTTCACTTCAGCAGACTGTAGGGGGCGCCCTGGCACTCCTTCCTTTGTCCCTACTCAGGAGGCTGCAGCCAGCCGCCCCACCGCCCAGGTGGGACCAGGTGCCTTGGGCTGCGTCCTGCAAAGGCACAGACATTGTGCAGGGAGGCCTCTTGGGACCCGGGAAACCCTCCTCGCTGGGCAGAAGCCCACGTGGCTCTGGGGAAGGAGCCAGGGGGACCTTCCAAGTCAGAAAGTCAGTCAGGGACAAAAATGCCTCCTTTATCCAAAATGTCTCAATAAATCATTTTAGCTTAATTATCAGTAATTCTCGTCTCTGCTTTTCCCTGCTTCCTATAAAAACGGAGCTTGAGCCTCTTGTTCACTAGGAGGGGATCCTGAGACTAGAGAAAAGACTGGGACAGGAGTGTGGGCCCCAAGTTCAGCTCTCTTCTAGGGAAGCACAGGTTCTGAGAAGTTCATGCTGCAAGCGGGGTAACTGAGACACCGTCAGCTGCTTGTCCCCACACCGGAAGTCCTGCCTCCTACCCGCGACAGCTGGGGCCTGAGAGTGCTGTGGCGAGGCTCGAGGTGGGGTGGTCACCGGGTGTGAGAATCCAGACACCCCTCTGGCTCCCGTGTCCTCACCTGTCAAACAGGCTGATTTCACCTCACAGAGATCATGAGCCGCCAGATAAAAACACAGTAAGGCTGAGAAGGTATGAGTGTATTTCCCTGAAACCTCGCCTTCAAGTTTTTGAGGACTATACTTTTCCTCCTATTATTGAGATCCTAGGGCCAGTGATACCAGAGTCCTGCCCATGTCCCCTCAGTGTCCCATATACAGTGTGGTCCGGTGACACGCTCGCTGTTGGGGGGGTGGCACTGGCCAGATGTGCCACAGCTCCTCTCCTCCTGCTCCAGTTCAGGCCGGAGAGTGAGCGTCTCTGTCAACTAAGATCTGGTGGGAAGATTTAAGAAGAGAAAGCACAGGCCGGCCTGCTGTTCCAGAACCATCTGCAGCATGGGCACACAGCTATACCTCTGTGGCCCTTCCCCCAGGCCCACCAGAGGGGAGTGGGAATGTCATTCAGTTGTTTTAATGGAGGCTTTTCAGAGACCACAATCCCAAATGAAAGTCATCCCAGCCCCTTAAAAACACCACTCCAAAAGGCCTGGGGTTTGCTCAAAACAACCCAGTGAGAAGTAGGGTGTGTGTGCTGGTGGTGGGGAGGGGGCAGCACAAAGGACAGCCACGTGTTGGTAAAATTGTTGCAGTGGACTGTGGATATATGGAGGTTCACCGTATCATTGTCTTTATGGACAACTGACATTTTCCATAAAGAAATGAAAAAATAGTTATCTTGCGAGAGAAAAAAAAAGAAGCAACCCTAATCAGTATGACACTCGCTGGGGAATCTCAAGCAATGAGCAGGCGCAGCTGCCCAGAAAGGCGCCTAGGCCGGAAGTCTGCACGCCAGGCTGCAAGCCTCCTTGGTGCTGTGCGCAAGTCCTTTCGCACAGGGCTTACGGCCCGGGCTGTTCTGCAGCTAATTACCAGTGATCGACAGCAGGCTTCCCCTCAGCCCTGGAACCACCCTCCAGGCTTCCTGAGAGAGCAGTCAGCTTGTCTGGTCCGTCATTAAACCACCTTTCCTACCAGTAGGATGCCAGGGTGCGACAGGAAGGAAGTTGGCTTCTCCTTGTGGTCTTTCCTTGCCACCTCATGGCTGACAACATCAACGGTTTTATTAGCTAAAATGCCAACACACAGGGCACCCGGAGTTGCCCTGGGGCCCTTCCCCCACCCCCACATCAGTGTCTCGGTCTGAAAGCAGGTGTTCCCGATGAGCATAGTTGTACTAGGACGAGGTGGAGGACCCAGGCGCTGGAGAGAAGCAGGTTCCGGCCGGAGGCAGCATTATGCCACATCAGAAGCCTGACTCCTGTCACTCAGGACTGAGGACCTTCACAACCAAAGCAGCGAGCCCCTGCTCTAACTGGCCACCGGGGCCATGGTCTTCTGACACAGCCTGGCCAGCAGCCCTGCCATCTGCAGGAGGGAGTTCACACCTTCTGCTATTTTCATGTGAGTGTATCCGATTTCCTGAAAAACAAGTCAGATTTAAATTTGGTTAATAAACAAGGGAGGAGTTTATTTTTAAAATCTGAATGGATGGTTTTGTCCAAAAATCAATGCAACAAACTCAAACTCCTGCTGGGGGATGAACTCTAGGACGTAATGGATTATGTTTCAATTACAGTTCAATTTATTTCCTAAAAGGATGTTGATGTTTCTTTGAAAGATACTGTTGTTGTTTTTTTAATGCCAGGCTTGGGGAAAATACTCAACTATCTATAAAACAAATATTCAATTAATAGAACTTGAATCTGGAATACAGAAAATTCTTAAAATGCAGTAACAGTAACAAGGAATTAAATAATAAGCAGACAGAACGATGTGTCACAGATCGTGGCAGTCAAACAGGCCGGGGTACGCACTGGCCGCCTGGTCAGCCGGGAAAGGCAGGCCGGAGCTGTGCCCAGAGGGGCTGGTCGAGGGGCTTTAAAAACCAGCGTTCTTCCCAGTGCGGCAGGAAGTGGGTCCCACAGCACCCCCTTGGCTGGTGAACTCAGAACATTACAGCCACTCTGGACGCAGCTGGGCCGTTTCTTATAAAGTTAAACATCCCCTTACGTTGGCCCAGAAAGCTCGGAAGTGACCGGAGAGAAGTGAGAATTTGTGTTTGTGTTCACCCTCGCTCATGTCCACAAGTGTTTACAGGGCTCTGCTCAGTAACTCAAGCCTGGAAGCCTAAAGGTATCTCAACAGGTGAAGAAGGCATCCTGGCACTAAAAAGGAATGACCCTTTGTTCACCGATACACTTCGATGGCATGAGCAAACCCAGAAAGCTTTGGGCTTAGGGAAAGCAGCCAGATGCAAAGGCTACGTTCGGCACGATTCCATTTTTATGATCTGTAAAATTCTGTCTCTAAGCAGAAAACAGTGGTTTTCAGATGCTACACGAGTTGACTACAGAGGGGAACATAAAAATGTGTCGGTGTGTGAACTGCTCATTGTCTTGGTTGTGGCTGTTTACACCTAAGGTGTAAGACTGAATTTTATATGTAAATTGTACCTCAATTAAATGGACCTTACAAATAAACCAATGAATGAACAAACCTCTGATGAAGACAGTCATCCCAAGGAACACACAGATCACTGACCAGCAGATGTGGGGAAGGCAAACTCCCGGCCCCGCACCTGAGCACCCCCCAGGTGCCAGGCCTGGGCGTAAGATGAAACCACAGCGTGGCCCACATCCTTGAGGAGGGACACTGCTACCCCCACTGACCTTAACAAACTCCAGTTTCAAGTATTCAGCCATCTGGAAGGTTTTACACACTCGGAAAATGTTGCCGATGATGTCTTCTGGTGAGTAGCCCAGATGCCACAGGTGAGCGAGGATCTAGATGAAAGCACACAGGGGCTGTAAAGGAGCAGGCTGCCAGAGGGGAGCCAGTCAACCACGGCTGGGCCTGTCAGCCTGAGGGAGCACCCTAGGGACTCAATCAGCTGGACACGTGGACCGCCGGCCACTCCCTTTAGAGTCTGAGGGTCTATTTAATTGATTTTCCCAGCAGTCAGAGATAATATTGCAAAAGGTTTAAGCTGTACAGCAAGGTCTACTATGACACTAAGTAACATCCTTATTCCGGGCTCTTCCAGCGCCGTGAGCCATCCCATACCCAGTGGTACCCCAGAGGAGGAGACACAACCACTCACCATCTGAGGCACTGCTGCTGGGGAGCCCAGGCAAGCCCGGGCGGGGCCGACATCACAGTGTGGGCTCAGTGCCCACCGTCTCCACCGCAGGCCCAGTCCCCACCTAGCCCACCTGCCCTCACCTGGACATCTGGGAGAATTCAGGGAACAGGGACATCCTGTGTCCATGAATCTGAGGGCTCCTTCAGGCCCACTCAGCACGCCAGGCTGTAGGTAGAGGTCTCAGTCTCCCCACCTTGCACTTTGGTTCAGTATTACGTTAGGCCCAGTCCTGCCCTAAACTTCTAGTCTCATTGGAGCTGGGGGAGGGCAACCAGCTGTGAAAGACCAGTGGCCTCAGATCACACCGGCCCCCTGAGCACCTGCTGGACTCTGCTCACAGCACCAGGCTCCAGGCCAGGCTACCATCTGCTGGTTCCAGAAATCCCACCCACAGCTGCTCAGAAGGGAGGGGGCCTCAACAGACTGATGGCTTCACTGCAGCGTAAGGAGTTGAGGGGCTTCCCCATGACTTGGGTGCATCTTCTTGTGGAGAGTATTACAGTAGGAAGAGGTGACTCTGAACTCCAAGTCTACTACTTTTATAGTTAACTTGGAATGAGGACCTTTATTTGTGCTCTAAGGGGGAAGATGAAAGGCCTAGTTCCCACCAGAGTGACACCCAAGCACCGTGACCACCGCCTCTGACAGTTTCAGTTTCAACACAGCAAACCCAAACACAGTCCGCAGGCCTCTGCTTCCTGAGACTTACAGGAAGGAATTTAGTCTCTGTGTCAGCAGTCTCATTTACCATGTGTCCCTAACTCCTAGCATCATTCTGAGAACTCAGGGAGCAATGCATGCAAAGTCCCTCGCACAGGATGTACTCTGCCCAGCGCAAGAATCAAGGGTCTAGGGCCCTCCCTGGTGGTGCAATGGGTGAAGCACAGCACTATAAAGTTAGCCTTGGCCACTGCAGCACAAGTTCAATCCCTGCCAGGAAGCTGACCCACATGGCACGGCAGACCTCTGTCCCACCCACTGCTCCCCTCAGCAGTGAATTTCAGTCAATCTGCTGTTCTGCTCCCCACTCTGCCTCTGGTGAATCCTCTGACCCTCCACACCTCTGGCCTGTACTCCAGTTCTGTATGTATTAAAAAAAAAAAATCAAAGGGTCCCCCCAATCAGGACGGGGAGGAGGCAAACCTTGTAGGCTTCATCGATGTTGGCGTTCACACAGTGCTGGATCATCTCCTTCACCAGCAAGGGGTGGGGCTCATCGCAGACCTGACCCAGCGAAAACAAGGGGCTGTCAGGGGCTTGGGCCAGCGGGGAGTGGCCTCTCACCACCGCCTCTGCACCACCTTTTCAACTGACTTTTCTTGTTCCAGCAGGCTTGGGAGTGCCCCTCTTGTGACCAACCAAGCCACCACCCAGAAGAGAGTGTGGCTTCAGTTCCCATGGTATGTGGAAGGCTTCTGACACCACAGTGACAGGCCTGTCAACCACTAGATGATGCTCAGGGCCTGCAGAGTCCAGGCACAGGGGCAGCTTCACAGCCAGGTCCAGGTCACAGGAGGGGCACCTGCCCACAACTACTAGGAGCCCACTTAAGAACCGAGAGGCCCTTAGGACGGATCGCTCCCCCCCCACCCAAAGAGAAGCTGGCTTTCTCTGGGTAGGTCCCGCAGTCCTAGCATGACAACCCACTGAGCCTCCCCAGGCCTATAGCTGTCCACCCAGCTATGCCTTCCACTGACCATGGATTCTGCCCTCTAGGGCAGTGTCAACTCTAATCTTCTAGCTGAAAGCGTCTGACCGCTCAAGGCCTGTGGTGTTCTCTCCCCAGTTCAACTAACTTCCCTCAGAAGTCATGGTTTGCAGAGTCCTCAAACTCACTTCAGGAAGAAGTGTCATACCTTGAACACGTTCTCACTGTTAATAAAGCCGAACCCCGAGAAAGTAGACTGCAAGTTGTTCAAAGCCTGTCGAGGAACAGGAACATCGGGGTGATTTCAAAATCTTTCTCTTCCCCCTGTCAGAGTCCCAGCAACACTTCCAGCAGGCCGCTCTCTGCTGGGCCACACTCCCCGCTTGGATCCCGACCCTCTCCCCCTGCACGGGGCCGGGGGCGTGCACACACCTGCCTCATGTCTCCCTGGGCAGTGAAGATGATGGCCTCCAGGCCGTCGTCGGTATGCGGCACCTTCTCCTGTTCGATGACATTCAAGAGCCGCGCGAGGATCTGGGCATCGGTCAGCTTCGTGTAGCGGAGGACGGCACACCGGGACTGAATGGGCTCTGGACAGACAGGAGGGGGTGAGCCCCCGGCAGAGGGCGTGGGCCCTGAAATCCTGTAGTTACTAGAAAGCAGCCGCAGCATCTGCTGGGCCCAGACGTGCCAACATCACACCTACCCAGCAGGGCTCACCGCAACTGGGTCATTTGTGGCTAAACTACAAGGTAGCAACCAGTAAGCACCGAGCAGCCTCAACTGCACCACTCAAGAAGACCTTGGCTAGCTGAAGGGGGAAGATCCTCCAGGGCGGGGACCCCTGAGCCTGAGGCAGTCTGTGCCTCCGGCCCTGGGTCATGCAGGCTGGGCAGGTCACCACCTCTCTGGTCTGAGGTGAAAACAGGAGGCCTGCATGGTTCCTGTGAAGCTCCCAGGTGATGTGATGCAGCACAAGGGCTGAGAGCCACTAACGAAGGCGGAATTCTGGAAGCCTCCCATGTAGACTCTGTGAAGACTGCCACAGTAGCCACTCCCTCAGCTCCAAGCCCCAAGTTCTCTGATTCGTGCTGTTCTGCTGCCACCCTGGTGTTCCTCAAAGTGTTTTGACCTGTCAACACTTCCCGACAAGTCACATCTTCACGAGCCAGATGCAGTGATGAGCAAAAGGAGGACTTGGGATGACTCAGGGTCTGCTGGCCAGGGGCCCTCTCCTATCTGTGTGTGCTCTGAGGCAGGCACAGAACTTCGCGCCAATTTGTAGCTTCCACTGTTAACCTTACACTCAGCAGAAGCTTTGTACCTAAATGTGGTCAGTATTGGTGAGACTTCAAGGAGCAGCTTTCCTAAGCTAACGGTTAGTCTATTTCAGCTTACTTGAAATCAAGAAGCTCCACAACAACCCTTATTTATGTGTTTATCAGTACTGACAAGAAAGTGATCCACTAGAAACTGTAATACACATCTAAAAGCAATTACTACCCCAACAATGCCGGAAGTGACTTTTTTAAAAAAAGATTTCACGGCCCTCCCTGGTGGCGCAGCGGGTTAAAGCACAGCACTGAGAATCTAGGGCCACTTCCTCATGAGTTCGATTCCTGCCAGCCCCGGAGGTGACCACATGGCGTGGCAGACCTCTCCTGGCCCGCCCACTGCTCCCCTCAGCAGTGTGTTTCGTCGATCTGCCTGTTCTGTTCCCCGCTCTGTCTCTGGTGAAGCCTCTCACCGCCCCTGAGCCTCTGGCCTGTACCCCAGTTCTGTATGCACAAATAAATAAATCTTTAAAAAAAAGATTTCACTTATTTATGCATACAAGAACCGGGGTACAGGCCAGAGATGCAGGGGGAGAGAGTATTCACCAGAGACAGAGTGGGGAACAGAACAGGAGGATCTACTGAAAAACACTGCTGAGGGGAGCAGTGGGGGCGACAGGAGAGGTCTGCTGCGCTACATGGATCAGCTCCCTGGCTGGGGATTAAACTCATGCTGCAGCAGCCGCACACAGCTTCATAGCACTGTGCCTTAACCCCTTGTGGGGCCAGGGGGACCCCTGGAAGTGACCTTTAAGAGATTTTTTCTCTTTCAAAAAGTACCAAAAGCTTACTGCGCAAACTTCAAATACAAGTCAGAATGAGGCAGCTCTCAGGAACCTAAGAGAGGCGCACGACGCAGAGTTTTAAAGGGCAACTCTGCCGCTAGCTAATCATGAGTCATTTCCTGGTCCCAGACCAAGAGGTCCCAGACCAGACCAATTTCTTCTGAGACTACATTTACATGTTTGTGATGTCCTCCTAGAAATTAAAAATGATCAGCATGCTGTTTGTTTCAGAAGGGTTAATTTCATAAAAAGGGAGGGTCAAAGGGCCTCCCTGGTGTTACAGGGGTTAAAGACACAGCACTATGCAGCAATTGCCAGTCGCTGCGACATGAGTTCCATCCCTGGCCAGGGAGCTGACCCACACAGCGCAGCAGACCTCTCCTGTCTCACCTGCTGCTCCCCTCAGCAGTGTATTTCAGTGGCTCTGCCTGTTTTGCCTCCCACTCTGTCTCTGGTGAATCCTCTCACCATCTCCCCCCTACACACCTCTGGCCTACACCCCAGTTCTTTATAAATAAATAAATCTTTAAAAAAAGTATCAATTGAGATAGAAAAAGGCACAAAAGGATGTAAGAATAAACTAATATATTATTAAAAAAAAAAGGGAAGATCAGAGTTTTTCTACCAACTGCAGTTTCAAATCAACACTCATTAATGATTTATGCTTGGGCCTACTCAAAGTATACTTGGAGGGGGAGGGGAATCTACTGCCTTCAGAATTGTCCCCCAACTGGAATGGTGGGTGACAAACCACATACACATCCATCAATCAAGAGCTTTCAGCACAGTGTCCTCCATCGCACCGTGGGGGTCTAGAAGGTGGAGCGTGTTTCTCATTAAACTGTGCGCCTTCAGCACCGCGCAGAGTCTGACACCCATTAAGAACAGAGTCGATGTCTGTCGAATGAATTAATGAACATGTATTGACTACTCTGGGAAAGGAATGAGGGCATAAAGGACTCCTGGACACTGAGAGCCCCATGGAGACCAGAGTCCAGGACCCTGCAGGGGCTTCACGGTTGGTGACCGGCTTGCCTGCAACCGTGCCCGACAGGCTGGGTAGAGAAGGCCAGGCTGTGTCACCATCCTTAGCGACAGGGACGGATGTGAAGCAGCAAGAAGCTGAGACTGTGGAGACCCTGCTGGCTGGCGGGCTCACAGCAGGGAGGAGGCAGACACGCTGCTGGGAGAGGGGGGGTTGGAGAGACCACCCGGAGGGCAGGGAAGGTGTCCTAAGGAGGCAGCTGCGAGCAATAACAAAGCCCAGGGTGTCCACCAAATGCAAGCGCACGTCTGCAGGGGGACTGGCTGTGACACCGAAGCCAGGGCATCAAGTCACACGTGCCCTCGATGACACAGGAATCACAGGCTAGGCCCCGGTTCTTCCTCTTGCTGTGTCACTTTGGGCAAATTACTCAAGCTCTCTGAGCTCGTTTGCTCATCTTCAATGTGGAACTAGTAATACTTCCACACAGAATGATATAAGATTAAAGGGAAAAGCTGACTCCGCAGATTAGACGTAGTGCCTGGCTCACAGCAGGCAGAGCTCCTAAGATGGCCACCTGCGTGCCACACGGACCCCACGCCACCCACAGCAGACCTCACCTATGATTTTATCTGAAGCGTTACAAGCAAGAGCAAAGCGAGTCGTTTTGGAGTAGATTTCCATGGTTCGCCTCAAGGCTTGCTGGGCTCCATCAGTCATGCTGGGAAGAAAAACACAAGAGGCAGTTTACAGCCCAGGGCCCACCGGACTCAGACCCCACCGGACTCAGAACCCACCGGACTCAGAACCCTACCTATCAATGATAACCTGGCACGCGGGCCAGGGCCGGTGTTCCTGGAGAGCAAGCACGTCACCCACTAATGCTAAAACCCACAGGCCACCTGTTCAGGGACTGCCTAGAGAGGACTTGGCTCCTGAAGCCCCCAGAAACCAGCCTTAGGTAGCGTCCCCAAAGTCGGCATCGGCAGTGGCAGCCATCACATTTATAGGAGTTGGTCTGCCCTGCAACACCTTCATGATAAAAAAATCACACGGGAAAAGTAACATCCGCTGCTGACTTTTCCATGCTCCTGGGGATCCTGACTGAGCACGTGCAGCCTCTGGCCAGGGCCCCGCGTGAAAGCTCCCTGGAAGCCTGCATGGGCTGCGCAGGGCCGAGTCGGGGTCAGGCTTAGGGCCTCACCTTGGAATCACGCCTGTAAGGACATGATGATACTCCCTACGCCAGACGGTTGTTATGACAAATAAAGAGTTCAGCAGAGGGACTGGCTTGTGTAAATGCACAGAGATGCCATAACGTTACAGTAAAACAATTAAGGTGTATCCATACTATAGAATGTGATTCAGAAATTAAAAATGATGTTTGTGATAATATAAAACATACATTAAAAAGGAAAGACCGGCCCTCCCTGGTGACGCAGCGGGTTAAAGCACAGCACTGAGAATCTAACAGCCGCTTCCGCATGAGTTTGATTCCCGCCTGCCCCGGAGGTGACCACATGGCGTGGCAGACCTCTCCTGGCCCGCCCGCTGCTCCCCTCAGCAGTGTACTTCGTTGATCTGCCTGTTCTGCTCCCCACTCTGTCTCTGGTGAAGGCTCTCGCCGCCCCTGAGCCTCTGGCCTGTACCCCAGTTCGGTATGCACAAATAAATAATAAAATCTTTAAAAAAAAAAAGGAAAGACCAGGACACAAAAAATATATACATTATGATCTTAATACTGTAACAGTGCAGTGCAGGAAAATACAGCAAGGTAGTAACAATATTTTCTAAATTCTCCTCAAAGATAGGTCTTATATCCTGAAATGTTATTTATAATTCTTCCTTAAAACAGGTAATGGTCACTGGGAAAGTACTACGTGGTTAAAGCAGTCACACTGTATACTTTAAAATGGTTAAAGTGGTCAGTTTTACACTTTGTGTACTTTACCACAGTGAAAAAAAAAAAAAGCCATCTTGATTATTCATGTAAGTGATGCTGGAACAAAAACATTAATGGTCTCAGCTATGTCTCAGACAGATATCTGTATAACCCCATTATGGGTAAGGTTCAGATTGCTCTTTCAGAGACAATAAGCAAATCTACCCCAAAAGTGCAAAGGCAAGAACACTTGCTCCTGATTTTATAAAGCCCAGGTGCAAGCTCTACCTGTCCGCTTCGTCCAAGATGATGATCTTGTGGCGCCCTTTGGGGAGGGTGACTTTCTGCTGGGCAAACATCTTGATTTTATTCCTCACAACATCAATGCCCCTGAAAAAGAAAACCATCCTCTCACCTCTGAGACAAATTCCGTTCCCTTTACAGGGACATTTGGTCCTCACTATACCACTTTGGACCCAGTTTCATTACTTCAGATTCTTTTCAGGCAGTGCTAACTGCGTGAAAGGCCTGCTGTTGTTCATGACATTTATTTTTTCTTGCGGGTCTTCCAAAGAATAAAGAAAATATTCACTTACTTTTTTTGGGATAGAATGAAGTTAATTTTATATTGTAATTACCATGTGGGTCCACGGGACCATTTTATAATTTAAGATAATGTGGAGGTCTTAGTGATCTTATCCTTCCTGTACCTTGAAACTAAATAGCAGTGTCATCATCCCAGTAATTATTTCACTGTTACTCATCAATTATTACCACCTATGCTAGGACTAAAATAAGAAAGTGAAAGAATGATGAGTTGCCCAGGCTGATACAATAGGAGGGGCACCTGTTACTATTGTCCGTGCTTTAGTTTAGGTTTATTTGTTTCTTTTTAGACCTTTCATGGATCACAGTTGGATAGTCAACATTTTTCATTTTCTACTCAAATGACAAAGATGAAGAAAACTGACAGAGAAAGACATTTCCCAATCATAGGCAAATCGCCCAGCAAGGTGAGTCCTCAGGCTGTCAACATCCTAAGTGGCTTTTCACAAACTTAAGAACCTACAAGTGAGCAACCTGTTTCTAAAGATAAAAACTAAGTCACTCAACAGGGAGGATTTCATTCCCCAGTATCCCTGGACCATTCCCTTGTGTTAAAAGGTCGGTGCCAATCAGTACTGTTTCATCTTTTATGTGGGCTGAACAGCAACGATTACAGGATAGTTCTCTGGTAACTAAAAGCTGAAGGTGGGCCCCTCCCTGGTGGCACATGGGCTAAAGAGCAGCACTATGAAGCTACCCAAAGCCACTGCAGCACGAGTTCCGGCCAGGGAGCTGACCCACATGGCACAGCAGACCTCTCCTGTCTCACCCGCTGCTCCCCTCAGCTGTGTTATCTCAATAGATCTGCCTGTTCTTCTCCCACTCTGTCTTTGGTGAATCCTCTCACCCCAGTTCTTGTATGCATAAATAAATAAATCTTTTAGAAGAAAAAAAGCTGAAGGTAAGTGTATCTACAAAGGGGATAGAAGGGAAGCATGATAGAGATGGAGACTGGGCTGCCCTGGTGGCCTAGGGGTTAAGTTTCAGCCCGACAACCCCTATGGCCTGAGTTTGATCCTAGCCAAGGAGCTGATCCACATGGCACAGCAGACCTCTCCTGTCTCACCTGTTGCTGCCCTCAGCACTATATTTCCGTAAACCCACCTGTTCTGCTCTCTACTCTGTCTCTGGTGAATCTTCTCACCCTCCTCTATCCCATTTCTGGCCTATATCCCAGGTCTTCTATGCAAAAAAAAAAAAAAAATCTTAAAAAAAAAAGAAAGAAAGAAATGGACAAACGCTCTTGTATTGCTCAATCTAATTAGTGAGTGGTTCATAAATTTAAATTTGAAAGTATTCTGCAATTACAAATTCTCTTCAACAAAATGATGAGTCAGCCAAGTTTTCAAAAAGAGTGAGTGAAATGATGCAAATGTGAGGAAATAATAAACTAGAACCTATTTGTAGTTGACTTCTGGAATCAATGAACCAGAGCTGAGGTCTACCTGATAGTGGCTAAGCAGTGAGCTACACTCAAGGAAACTGCCCACCTCAGGTATATTATAGGCCTTCAAAGCTGGGAAGCGTTAATGAGTTGAGAACCACCTTCCAGGGGGTAACCAAAGATAGCTTTGTCCGACACTGGATTTAACAAGCTCTCATCTCCCAGCCCTCTGCTGCACAGCTAAAAGGTAAACCAGCAGCGAACCCATGAGGGTGGCTCTGACAGTAACACCGAAGACATGAGTGACTGTTGGGAGGTTGTGGAGAAACTGGAAGCCTTGCAACTGCTAGTGGGAACATACAATAGTGTAGGCACTGTAGGACGCAGTGTGGCAGTTCCTCAAGAGATTAAACACAAATTTACTAAATATAATAATCTAGCAACTGCATTTCTGAGAAGATAGCTTAAAGAAGCAAAAACAGGGTGGTGAAGAGATATTTGGACACCCCTGTTCATAGCAGCGTTACTTACAATTCGTAAGAGTCAAAAGATGAAAGCAATGTAAGTGTCAATGGACAAATGCAGAAACAAAATGAGGCAGAACAGTCACATGTCACTTCCTGACCTGGCTAAGTTGTAAGAAATGTACCACTGGGCAAGTTTGTTGTCTGATGTTACAGAATACAATTACACTAACCTGTATTATGTGATATACCTAGGCTGGATGGTACAGCTTATGGGTATAGCCTTATGCAGTCCACTGTTGACCAAAACTTTAAGGGATGCATAACTACATGCACACGATGGAATATTACTCAGCTTTAAAAAAGGAAGACAACCTGATAATGTGCTATAACACAGACGAATCTTGAGGGCTTTCACTAAGTGAAATAGGTCAACAACAAAAAGACAAATACTATGATTCCATTTCTAGGAGGTCTCTAGAATAGTCTCACAGAAAGAGTGGTGGTTGCCCCCAGCTGGGAGAGGAAATGAGCTGCTGTTTAATGGTTATAGTTTCAGTTTTGCAAGATGAAAGTCCTGGAGCTTGGGTTCCACAACAAGGTGAATATACTGAACATGACTGAAGTGTCCACTTAAAAATGGTTAAAATGAACAATTTGTACTATGTGGCTATTACCATAATTAAAAACCCAGCAGGTCCAGTGTTTACAATGCCTCCTCCACAGGCCTGCAATTCTTGTTCTCATCACTGGGAAAGTGAAGGAAAACAAAGCTGGCAGGGCAAGATCCAAGTCCAACAGAGAACCTGAAAAAGGATGTTTCTCTGACAACTGAAACTGTAAAACACTGGCCACCTTTCAGACCCAACTCCCAAACATACCTGTCATTTGAGGCGTTGAGCTCCAACACAGCATCCTTCATTGCTGGGCCCAGCAGGGCTCGTGCCAAACACAGGATGCTGGTCGTTTTGCCGGTTCCAGGAGGGCCCTAGGAAGAGAGTTCTAGTGAGCACTTTAAGCCAACAGAATGAACTGATTTCCTGTTGGCCTCAGTTTATTTTACACTCACCTTCCTCTCTAGAGCCAACCCCATCGACAGCACATACCACATCATTCAGCAGTCAAACCACTGGCCTCCCAGCCCACCTGAGGGAAGTTTCCCTGTGACAGGGCTCTGGTGGTAGCAGGCCTCTCCAAGGAGAAGCAAAGTACACAAGACCATTTAAGAGGGGGGTGAAATGACACCCCGAGACAGGCCAGGGCAGGGTACTTACAGCAATTATAATATTGGGCACATTTCCTTCTCTGGCAAAAACCTGAAGAAAGAAATGTTCATTAAAACTGGTTTATCTTAAAAAAAAAAAAAAATGGTTTATCTGCCAACCTGAAAAATGAGTCTCTCCCCCACCTAAGTCTATATGAATAAGCCAGGCTACCAATCTCTCCACATGACACCCAACGGACCTCCCACCTCAGCACATTCAAAACTGATCTTGTCATCTCCCCCAAGAGGCCTGGGGCCTCAGCCATGTCTCCCTTTCCATGGGCTGCCAAGGTCATCAAACCCCCAGCAGGACCCAGGAGGTCATCTTTGACAGGGCCTTGTTCCTCCCCAAAGCCCCCAGCAGGACCCATGAGGTCATCCTTGACAGGGTCCTGTTCCTCCCCGACAATGACAAAGCTTGGTACTCCTTCTCCATTATCTCCAGAATCCATTTACTTTGCTCCAGCTCCAGGGCAGCTTTCTTAGGCCATTATCTCTTACCTGGATTCCTTTCAACAGGCCATTAACTGGTCTCTTGCCCCACCCCAGTGCATTTCCCATAATACAATCAGGACAACTTTTCTACAATATCTATCTATTAAAACATCTTTAACTGGCTGACACCATCATCAGGACACCTAAACTCTTGAACCGGGCTCCCCAGGCCCGCCCACCTCATCTGCCAGCTCCTCATACACACCACTACATATACTGTTACTCGGGGGGCTCTGAGAACTGGCATTACCTGGGAACTTACTAGATATGCAGAATCTCGAGCCTGCTCAAGACCCACTAGGCCAGGATCAGCATTTTAATAAGCTCCCCGGGCAGTTCCTATTAATATCTGGAAATCAACACTGTGCATCCAATCAGATGGCATTTTCCCCTAGAATGAGCCAAGTGTTTCATCGCGGGGCCTTGGCTCGGCTCCTCCTGCTGCCGCTCCCTCTACCTGCCAGCAGCGGGTCTGGCTGCCTCCCTCCCACTCCTTTAGCTTTGGTGTCACTTCTTCCGTGTGGAAATGAAGCCATCGGAGCAGGGTAACTCCTCCCCACTCCGTGGAAATGAAGCCATCGGAGCAGGGTAACTCTCCCCACGCCCTAACTCTGCCTGTGGGCTCCCAGTACTTCCTTGAGCAGAGTGCTAACCATGTTGCCTGCTGACTTTGGCAGAGCCCCGAAGAGGGATTTGATGTTTTTAAATGATTGTTTAAATGAAGAACGTCTAACAAAGACCGTACATGGTTTGCAGAGCCTAAGACATCACTAACTCGCCTTGACCTCAGTTTGCCATCCCAGCTCTAGAATACAGGAGTCTGACGATCCCTTTCCAGTAAGGACCTGCAGTTATCTGCTATGGCTCTAGTTGTCTCCAAATGGATTATCTTCCTGCCCCCCCATTTTTCTAGATCCATGAATTGCCCGCCCTCACTCTTGACTGTCATCCTCCAAATGCCTCAAGGTTGCCCAACTCGCAGTAAAGCAACATACGGTGATCTTTTTAAAAAAATCACTCACCTCCAGCCTGCTCACAGTGTCTTCATTCCCAACAATTTCATTCAACCTCACTGGCCTGTATTTTTCAACCCTGTTTTAACAAAAACACATAAAAAAATGTTAAAATGGCTATTTTCACGTTACCCTAACAGGCAATTCTTACAGCATATCAGATGATACACTCTTAATAAAAACAAAGGGCTGCAGGTTTTTAAGTTCAAGGAGATACCCAAGTACCATTTACAAAGTCAAGTGCATGAGAATTGTACACCAAGAGCTTCACACCCATCACAACAGAAAAACACCTGTTGCTGCTGGAGAAGGGCCAGAGCAGACCATCTGGCGCAAAGTGACATGCACTGTGCCACAGCAGTCTGCCCAGCACTGGAGGCAGTGACATCAACTGATCTGACAGATACGGGTTCAACTGAGCTCCTTCTCATCCCTCACCTGCCTATGTCTGCAGACGTGTGTCAAGTTTACAACAGGAGCAGCTAGACAGAAACCTCTGTGGTCAGACTAGGCTGTGTGGAGTAGGCAGACAGGCTAGTGGCCAACTCAGGCTGATGATGTCGCTCTTTTAAATCAATAAGCAAGCGACAGGAGAAACTGGCTTTCTCCAGCTGGGAGAACAGAGGTGGCAGTGACTTGACCATCAGCGCTTCCCCTGCCCTTACTCCAGCCCTGATTTACTTGCAGCTTACACCCTCTCCAGGCTCAGGTTCTGCTCCAGAAGCAGCTGCACACCAAGCAGCTTATTTGTCACCTATTATAGGAGATAGCCAGCTCTCTCTTCAAGACCAGCACTTGGAACACACTTGCGCCCACTCATTTCTTCTTCACACGCAGCCCTTCCAGGTGACCAGCACTGTCAGGCGTTAGTGATCTCAAGGGAAGAAAGGAAGGACAGTGACGAGCAAGACATGGTTCTTGCTCTCATGGGCTTCCCCACTAGTGGGGAGAAAAAGCCCAGCAAATCCTAGCAAGCACTAAACTGGTCAAATAAGCCAAGCACTGTGAAGCCTGGAGGAGGGAGAGCATCACCACTGGGGGAATTTCCAGGAGCTGGAATTTTGTTATTGCTGTCAGTGAGGTAAACATGCTCTTCCTTTGGGGTTTTTGCAGAGCTGCTGCACCCCTGCCTGAAAGCAGAAAACACCAGGTTGATTCCCTGACTTCATATCCTTGATCCTCAGTTTCATTCTGTTCAGAGCATTTACCCCACTTTATTTTTTTCCAAAGCACCTGTCACCACCAAATGTACTATATCGATACATAAATATATAGATATATACATATATATGTTTATTTCCTAAGCATCTGGTTTCATGCAGAAAAAAACAGAATCCAAGTCACAAATGTAATTTAAAACTTTCTGGTAGCCACATTGAAAAAGTCAAAAAGAAAACGGGATGATTTTACTAGCATACTTTATTGAATTTAGTATAGCCAAAATATCATTTCCAACACGTAATAATGTAAAAATTAATCAGGAGACTTCAAATCTAAATCCAGTGTACATTATACACTTAGAGCCACCCCAATTCGGACCTGCCCGATTTCCAGTACTCAGGAGCTCCCTGTGGCTAGCGGCTGGCCCAGCTGCATAGTCCAACAAGCTACAATGCCCTCCCTCTAGGTGTCTGCTCTAGATACAGGGGTAGGCAGGAGGGACGGGAACACACAGAGCGCTGGGACTAAGTAACTGTCACGCGCGCTGTGCCCGAGTTGAGAGGTGCGCGCAGGGACTGGGGCCCCAGTTGGGCGCCCGCACCACATTCGCGCTGGTGGCCGTAACTACTTGTCCCAGCTGCCCAGCTATTTAAAACGAGCAAACAATAGAAGGAGGCGGCTCCTTCTGCACCTAAGCTCCAGTGCCAAACCTGCACCCGACGCTTTCTGCCGGCGGAGAGTAGGTGGACACCGAGAGCGGCTAGTATCCATCCTCAGTATTGTTTTGATCGAGACCCCCGCTTCCAAAGATCAGGTCCGCTACTCGACCCCAGCGGCCCACGTGCATTCTCCAAAGAACACCCACGATCGGCACCACCCGAGGCCTCCTGCTCCCCTCGGAAGCCCGGGACCAGCGACCGCTGGCCTCCCCCAGGGCCACGGCCCGCCCCTCGGCCCCCGCAGGTCCAGAGCACGCATTATTCAGGCCCGGGCTCTCACCACGGCAGCTCATAGTGGCCAGCGCTGCCGGGGCCCTTGCTGGGGGCCGCGGCAGGATCCTGGGCCCCACGATCGTCTGCGCCCCCGCCGCTCTCCAGCGCCTCCATTCCGCCGCCGCCTCTTCCCGCCACCGGAGGCCCCGCCCCCGCCGGGGGTCAGCCCCGCGCGAGCGGAAGCCGAGCGCCGCCCCTTTCCGCGCCTGCGCAGAAGGCCCGGACCCGGCTGGGCGCTGCTCCCGGGAGGCTGAGGTTGCTAGGGGAAGCCAGGCGCCGGGGCTGGAAACCAGACGCAGCAGCCGCTCTGATCGCTCGCTCCAGGAATGCACGCCTGGTGGTTTTAGTCTTAGTGTGATTCGACTGGAAGGCCTTTTTCGCTTGGCCCGTCGGGAACAGCAGCGCTCGTGGACGCTGGCAGATGGCGAAGGAGCACCTGGGAGGAGCGGGGACCTCGGGCCCAAATACAGGACCCGGCGGCGGACACCTGCGAGGACTGATGTCCCGGGGGTCTTTCCCTACTGGGCCCAACCTTCCACTGGGCGGTGGGGGGCCATCCCGAGCCATTTTCCACATTGCTGAGACTGCCCCATGCCAAACCCCAGCTCCCGGTGGGTGGGC